ATCCCATTCCCATAGTAAAAAGACTGTAGAAGGACTACATACAGACAGGAATGTGGGGAAAACCATGGCTGGTCAACTCCAGTCCAAAATCCAGCAGCATTGGGAATAGAACATCCGACCTGTGGCAGAAGGTGGGTCCATACCGTCTTTACCTCAAGTTAAGTACAATGGAAGCATATATTGTGCAAACAGATCTATGAAACGAGCATGTGCGCAAATTCACAACCAACCACACATCCGGGAACTCGATGTCCGAACGACAGTAGGAAGAGATGTGCAAATGAGGCAGGATTGGTTCAGACTGGTACTCCACTGCATAACATCAGCCTAAGACAGAGAAAACAGCTCAAGGTGGAATGTGAGAGAAAGAAACATTGTCCCAATCAACATTATCCTCCAGATGGGAATGCACACAAAGTCACCCTCCAGAAATGGATCGCCTCTAGAAATATATAGCAACTGCACCCTCCAGATAGAACCACACAGAAGCTAAGCACAGCATCAACCTCTGGGACACATCACATGGAGGTGTAGATCCTGAGACAAATTGAGTGAGGAAGAGGAAACACAACTAACACATGTGGGACAATTCATGTTCAATGGTCCAGCTATAATCCTCTCACTGGGAACTGACATCCAGGTGATGGTAGGATGAAGGACCCCAAATAAAGAGGAGAACTGCAATTTGATAGATCTACTCCAAAGCAGCATCATCCTCCAGATAGGACCACACAAAGGCTGGAGCACAATAGCAGCCTCCAGGTCCCATTGCATGGAAGTGGATTGCACATATAAAACATAAGCAGCCCCACCCTCCAGATAGGACCGTACAGAAGCTTCACACAACATCAATCTATGGGACACACCACATGCAGGTGGAGCATATTTATTTGGAGATATGCACAACATCATTCCCTGGATAGGATTGCACAAACGTTGGAGCTCAATACCACCCTCTAGGTCCCATGGCATGGAAGTGGATTACATCTAGGAAATATAAGCATTCTCACCCTCCAGTTAGAGCTACACAGAAATTGGGTACAACATAAACCTCCGGGACCCACTGCACAGAGGTGGAGTGTATGATTGAAGGATCAAACACCATCTACACCAACAGAACACCATCACCCTACTCTCTACTTAATGGAAGCAAGCACATTCAGGAGGAGTCCTCCATGGTCCACCACCCCTGCAGCTCAGAACTGGAAAGTGGCAAAAACTCCCAATACAATGCGGTGGAGAGTCCAGAGGAATGCCAACAATGAAGACAGTGCAATAGGTTACCACAAAAACCATATTTTGTAAAGCAGACTACACCTGATTTATTCAATCAATGGGACAGCGGGGATGGGCAGCTATCCCCTTCTGCTCTACCCATGTACGTTCATGGGTTAATACAGTCTGGAATGGTCAAATCAATTAAGCAAACATTAATTAAATAAACCTACTAGTGATCTTGTGGAACATACCATATCAACAGTGTGCATTATAGGCCATAGATATATTGTATATATTGTGGCCATACAGTGCAATGCTTGCCACTGAGCAGAATCTGAATCTTAAATGAGACATGCCCTTGGAGGGAAAAATATATAGAGAAGAGATAACTTACCCATTCCTGGTCACACCCAGGTTTTAAGGATGCCAACAGTCAAAAGACAGTACCCTGATGAGGAAAAAACAGCTATCCAATGAAGATAGTGGGAGATAAAAGTTTGAGATGGAGGCCACATGTGTGACTGAATAGTTTCCTTTAATGGATGATGGAGGTGAAACTCCAGGAAAAAGGAAAGGTGCCCAATTGCAGAGTCCACATATAATTCTAAAGACTCTGGAAAATCTCCAAAAACAAATGGAGAAAAAGAGCCATCCAGAAGTCACGAAGATAATGGGAAGGTAGATGGACCTGTGAAGAAAACAGTGTCTTTCCAATAAGATCCCAACAGTAACAAAATCATGTGTGAAGAGATAGGGCCAAAGAGGTCAAGAGAACCAATGAGGAGTAAGGAAGGAAAGCATATCCCCCCAAAAAACACTCAGTTGAGTGCTTCAGAAAGGAGATGTATGTTGGACAAGTACAAGACAAAGATGGGAAAAAGGATGTGGGAGAAATTAATAGTATTATCAGGAACAACCCTCCACATGAGCAAAAGTGACATCAACTGCTGATAATCAAGAAAAGATTGATCAGCTTTTGATAAGAGAAAGTATAAAGATCAGCAGTCCATGGATAATGAGACATGCTAACACCAGCCCTCAACTGAGAAAATGGAACACCTGAGAAAGCATATCCAAGAAGGCAGAATTAGGCCTAGTAGATTTCGTAGGAGAATGACAGGAAGGCACAGCATAGGTAGGAAGTGTGTGTGTGTGGTGGGGGTGGGGGCCGGCAAAAACCCCAACCACAAGAAAAGGGTCGGAAAAAGGAAGAGGAACCAAAACAATGGCAAGAAAA